AACCGCCAAGGCCCATTTTTCTTGATCCCAGCATGACTTTAGCTGGCAGCTCTTCTGGAGAATCCAATCTCATGGCTACAGTTCATAGGCTTACATTAATGCTTGCCAAAGCTGGCCATATTGGGCTCTCAATCTCCATTGGCATCAGAAGGGTAGATTTTTTCATGGAGACCCATTAGGTCTTTGTCATGTTGGGCTTCAGCAGCAGCTGCATGGTGCATTCAGTGCTCAGGAATCCAAGGAGGAACCTCATTGTCCTGAGGAAAGACATAAACCAAACTCTGCCCCCCCCCAACACTAGATCGGGTCTCCTCCACGTGCTAGTAGAAAGATCCTTCCATTGCTCCAGAGGGTGATTTGCAACAGGTGCCCTCCAGTGCTTATCTGCATTGGATCCTCCAGCAGAATCCACTGATAAAAAAATTTAAAATATATAAAACAAGGGAAAGAATAGAATGTGGAGAGGAATGATGAGTCCTTAGTTCTCTCTTTTTTTAACTTTAGTAAAATGAAAATAAACCTCTTTTAATTGCCAGATAAACTATGTGGAATTGCCTTGTTAATTATAGCAATAAGTGCCCTAATACCTCTACTGGAAGTCTTGCCTGGTTACAGGAGATGGTCAGTTCAGGCTCCATATCTCCAATTGCTTGGGTCACCTTCATAGATTTCTGGGAGTTTCCATTGCACTAGGTTTCTAGCCCACTCCCCAAATGCACCCCATTCCAGTTGTCTTTTTTAGTACTCTCCTCCTCCATCTTTCCCCTACCTGATCCCCTGTCCCCATCTCCAAGCCCCCTACTCCACCCTCAATGTCTACTCTATTTCCCCTTCCCAGGGAGATTGATGTATCTTCCATTGAGCCCTCTTTTTTACTTAGCCTCTCTGGGTCTGTGGATTGTAGCACAGTTATCTTTTACAATGAATATCCATTTGTAAATAAGTACATACCATGTTTGTCTTTCAGACTCTCGGTTATCTTACTTGGGATGATTTTTTTTCTAGTTTCACCCATTTGCCTTCAAATTTCACGATGTTATTCTTTTTTAACTGCCAAGTAATACTCCGTTGTGTAAATGTACCACATTTTCTTTGTCAATTCTTTGATTGATGAACATCTAGTTTCATTTCAGTTTCTGGTATTATGAATAAAGCTGCTATGAACATAGTTGAGCAAGTGTCCTTCTGGTAGGATGGAGAACCTTTGGGGTATATGCCCAGGAGTGTATAGCTGGGTCTTGAGGTAGATTAATTCCCAATTTTCCAAGAAATTGTCTGTCACATTGGTTTCCAAAGTTGATGTACAAATTTGCACTCCTACCAGCAATAGAGGAGAGTTCCACATCCTTGTTCCACATCCTCACCAGCATAAGCTGTCATTTGTGTTTTTGATTTTAGTAATTCTGACAGGTGTAAAATGAAATCTCCGAGTTGTTTTGATTTACATTCCCCTGATGAGTAAGGATAGTGAACATTTCTTTAAGTGCTTCTCGGTCAGTTGAGATTCCTTTGTTGAGAATTCTCTGTCTAGATCTGCACCCCATTTTTATTTGGATTTGATTTTTTGATGTCTAGTTTCTTGAGTTCTTTATGTTTGGGAAATCAGCCCTCTTTCAGATGTGGGGATGGTGAAGATCTTTTCTCATTCTGTAGGCTGTACTTTTGTCCTATTGACAGTGTCCTTTGCAAAGAAGCTTTTCAGTTCATGAGGTCCTATTTATTAATTGTCAATCTTAGTGCCTGCATCATTGGTTTTCTGTTCAGGAAGTTGTCTCCTGTTCCAATGCATTCAAGGCTATTCCTCACCTTCTCTTCTATCAGGGTCAGTGTATTTGGTTTTATGTTGAGATATTTGATCCACTTGGACTTGAATTTTGTACAGGGTGATAGAAATGGATCTATTTGCATTCTTCTACATGCAGACATCCAGTTAGACCAGCACCATTTGTTGAAAATGCTTTCTTTTTTTTCCCATTGTATATTTATGGCTTCTTTATAATAAAAAAACAACCAGATATTCATATGTGTTTGGATTTATATCTGGATCTTCAGTTGGATTCCACTGATCAGTGTGTCTGTTTTTATGCCAGTACCATGAGGTTTTTATTACTGAAGTTCTATAGTATGTGGCAAGCCACAAGAATATATTATAAGGAGTCTAGCTGTGTATTAAAGCTATACCTTGACTAGGCCAAGGGTCAGTCAAGTAGGAAGCCATCTAGCATGGACTATGGGGTGTTACGCAGCTTAATATTTAGCTGTGATTTGTTATGAATTTCTTGTGTTCACAATTCCCAGGAATGTGTGTGTGTGAACTTCCTGCTCAGGCCAGTACTTGGATAAGGTCTTATAGGCAAAGCCAAGCAGATGGTAGATGCATAGCTTTGTTTCTTGTGCAAATGAAGCTCAGACCATCCCCTTGCCTTGAGGCCTAGTGGCTCTCCAGAGCAATTGACTGAGAACAAAAGAGGTTTTTACATATCAAGGTGCAAGGTAGGGTGGAGCAACATTCCTGAGAAGGCAGAGAACTTCATGGCCCAGGGAAGAAGAGACAGGTGATTTCTGTAAGGCAGACAGAACGGCATGACTAGGGAGAAGAGAAGAACATAGAGGTTTTGTAGATGGTAAGGCAGAACTCTTATGAAGTTCATCAGAGCCAGGAGTAGAGAGCAAGTAGAAATGGAGGGTGAAGAAACAGAGGACGAAGATGAGGTTGGAAGTATAAGAGCTTAGTTGTTAGCAGGACTATGAGAAGACAGTAAATGAGGACAAAGAGGAACTCAGTGTCAGGACAGAACTGAAGCTATGTAGACAGGATTTCATCCCAGAGAAATAAAGTAGACAGACAAAGAGCTTGGTGTATCTAGATTTATTCCTGCACTGAATGCCTGGTGGAGCTGTGGCTGTATAATAGAACTTTGTCTTAGAGGAATAAAGTTAACAGACATAACAGCATAGTGTATGTAAATTTTTCCCCCCTCAGATATCCCTAGCTGGATGTAGCGTCTTCCTCAGACTCTGGGAAATCCATAGTAGTACAATTTGAAATCAGGGATAATCTTACCTCCAGCAGTTCTTTTATTGTTCAGGATTGTTTTAACTATGCTATCCTGTTTTTTTTTTTTTTTTTCATATGAAGTTGAAAATTGTCCTTTCATGGTATGTGAAGAACTGTGTTGGAATTTTGATGGGGATTGCATTCAATCTGTGCATTGCTTTTGGTAGGAAGACCATTTTTATTGTGTTAATCCGACCGATCCATGAGCCTGGGAGCTCTTTCCATCTTCTCCTATCTTCTCCAGTTTCTTTCTTCAAAGACTAGAAGTTGTTTTCATACAGGTCTTTCAATTGTTTGGGTAGAATTACACCAAGACAGTTTATATAATGTGTGGCTATTGTGAAGGGTGTTGTTTCCCTGGTTTCTTTCTCAATCCATTTATCATTTATATATGAGTGGGCCACTTTATTTTTTAGTTAATCCTGTATCCAGGCACTTCACTGAAGGATTTTGTCAGCTGTAGGAGTTCCCTGGTAGAATTTTGGGGGTCACTTATGAATACTATCATATCATCTGCAAATAGCAGTACTTTGACATCTTCCTTTCCAATTTGTATCCCTTTGATCTCCTTTTGTTGTCTTATTGTTCTAGCTAGAACTTCAAGTACTATATTGAATAAATATGGAGAGAGTGGAAAGCCTTGTCTTTTTCCTGTTTTTTAGTGAAATTTCTTTGAGTTTCTCTCCATTTAATTTGATGTTGGCAGTTGGCTTGCTGTAAACTGCCTTTATTATGTTGAGGTATATTCCTTGTATTTCTGATCTCTCCAAGACTTTTATCATAAAGGGGGTTGGATTTTGTCAAAGGACTTTACAGCATCTAATGAGATGATCATGTGGTTTTTCTTTCTCTAAATTTGTTTATAATGGTTGATTATATTGACAGATTTTCATATGTTGATCTATTCTTATATCTCTGGGATGAAGCCTACTTCATCTTGGTGGATGATCTTTTTGATGTGTTATTGAATTCAATTTGGCAGTATTTTATTGAGTATTTTTGCATTAATTTACATGAGGAAAATTCATGTGTAATTTTTTTGTTGTTGACTCATTGTGTGGTTTGGGTTCCAGGGTAACTGTAGCCTCGTAAATGAATTTGGCAGTATTTCTTCTGTTTCTATTTTGTAGAGTAATTTGAGGAGCATTGAGGAGTAATTTGAGATCTTTTTTGAAAGTCTGCTAGAATTCTGCTCTAAAACTCTCTGGCCCTAGGGGTTTTTGTTTTTTTTTTGTTTTTGTTTTTGTTTTGTTTTGTTTTTTGGTTGGGTTTGTTTAATGACTCCTTCTATTTTCTTAGAAGTTATAGGTCTATTTATATTGTTCAACTGGTCTTGATTTAACTTTGGTAAGTGATATTCATCAAGAAAATTGTGCATTTCTTTTAGATTTTTCCAGTTTTATAAAGAACAGTGTAGGGGCCCACAAAAGCTTCCTAGTGAGATCTGAGCTTGCTTTACACAGCAGAGCCACAATAGGGGATGGCTGGACCACGTGCATGGTCACCAGGTGTCTGAGATGGTCTGCACTCGGCTGTGCTGGGGGGAGGTCTTTTGCTCCACCTCTTGGCAATCCTTTAAAAGCCCTTTGGTAGAGGCAGAAGGGGCCAGTGGATTAGGATCCAAGCCCTCCTGAGCTATCCTGTGTTTCTGTTTCTTCCCTTTATACTTCTATCTACATATTTCTCACTTCTCCCTCCTCAAGAGTGCCCTGGGTGAAAAAGAGGGAACTGGTCTCTCTCAGTACAGGTTTTTGAAGTATAACCTAATGATTATGTTATGTTTCACTTTTCATTTCTGATTTTGTTAAATTGAGTATTCTTTCTGTGTCTTTTAGTTTTGGATAAAGGTTTATCTATTATGTTGATTTTTCTCAAAGAACCAACTCTTTGTTTCAATGATTCTTTGTATTGTTCTCCTTGTTTCAATTTGACTGATTTTGGTCCTTAGTTTGCTTATTTCCTGCCATCTATTCTCTTGGGTGATTTGCTTCTATTTTGTCCTAGAGCTTTCAGGTGTGCTATTAAATTGCTAGTATAAAGATCTAATTTCTTTATGAAGTCCTGTGAACTTTCCTATTAGCACTACTTTCATTGAGTCCCATAAGTTTAGCTATGTTGTGCATTCATTTTCACTGGGTTCTAGGAAATCTTTAATATATTTCTTTATTTCTTCCTTGGCCCAGTAGTCATTCTATAGGGAGTTGTTCAGTTTCCATGAGTTTGTAGGCTTTCTGTTGTTTCTGGTGTTGTTGAAAGCCAGCTTTAATCCATAGTGGTGTGACAGGACACAAGGTGTTATTTCAGTTTTCTTGTGTCTGTTGAGACTTGCTTTGTGACTGAGTATGTATTCAATTTTGGATAATGTTCCATGAGGTGCTGAGAAGAAGATATATTCTTTTGTGTTTGGGTGAAATGTTCTGTAGATATCTATCAGGTTCATTTGATTGATAATGTCTATTAGCTCCATCATTTCCCTGCTTAGTTTCTGTCTGGATGACATGTCCATTGGTGAGAGTGGGGTGTTGAAGTCTCCCACTATTAATGTTTAGGGTTTGATGTGTGATTTAAACTTTAGTAATGTTTCTTTTACAAATGTGGGTGTCCTTGTGTTTAGGACATAGATGTTTAGAATTGAGACGTCATCTTGGTGGATTTTTCCTTTGATGAGTATGTAATGTCCTTCCCCATCTCTTCTGATTAATTTTGTTTGGAAGTCTCTTTTTTTTTTTTTTTTTTTTGGATAGTAGAATAGCTACACCAGCCTGCTTCTTGGGTCCATTTACTAGGAAAACCTTTTTTCCAACTTTTTACTCTGAAGTAATATCTATCTTTAATGTTCAGGTGTGTTTCTTGTATGTAGTGGAAAGATAGATTCTGATTTCTCATCCATTGTTAGCCTGTTCTTCTTATTGGGGAATTGAGTCCATTATATTGAGTGATATTAATGACCAAAGATTGTTAATTCCTGTTATTTTGTTGTTGTTCATGGTGGTAGTGTGTGTGTGTATGTGTGTGTGTGTTATGTGAAATTATGTATTTCCTGTGTTTTCTTGGGTGTAGCTAACCTCCTTGCATTGGAGTTTTTAGTCTAGTAGCTTCTATAGGACTGGATTTGTGAATAGATATGTTTAAATTTGAATTTGTCATCGACTATCTTGTTTTCTTCATGTATAGTGATTGTAAGTTTTTTTGGGTATAGTAGTCTGGGCTGGCATCTGTGCAAGACATTTGTCCAGGCCCTTCTTTCTTTTAGAGTTTCTGTTGAGAAGTTGGATGTATGGATGTAATTCTAGTAGGTCTGCCTTTATAAATTACATGGGCTGTTCCCCTTGTAGCTTTTAATATTCTTTCTTTGTTCTGTATGTTTTGTATTTTGATTATTATGTGGCACAGGGACTTCCTTTTCTGGTCCATTCTATTTGGTATACTGTATGCTTCCTATACCTTTATAGGCATCTCTTTCTTTAGGTGTAGATGGATTTCTAAAATGGTCTTATTAAATAAAAAACATGGAGCCAAATATAGGTGTGAAAGCCTTAGATCAGGGAAATAGGAAAGTCACCAGCCAAACTTACCTCACCAATGCTGTAGCTTCCAAATGCGAGTTACTTCCTGTCTATCCCAGGCTTTTATTGCCTTGCTGTTCTGCCCTCTCATTGGCTATCTTAGCCCAGCTACCTCACTTCCTTGTCACTGTCTGTCTGTACAGACCTCCAGGTTTCTATGGTTGGTACTGTGATTAAGGGCTTGTGTCACCACGCTTGGCTCTGTTCCCTAGTGTGGTTTTGAACACACAGAGACCCTGCCTGCTAAGTGATAGAATTAAGTGTGTGTGTGTGCTGCCTGACTTCTTGTTTACTTAAAATGGCTGGGTTTTCCCCTGTTCTCCAGGCAAACTTTATCAAAGCACAAATAAAATATCACCATATTTAGGTTAGGAAAATTTTCTTCTATGATTTTGTTGAAAATATTTTCTGGGCCTTTGAGCTAAGAATCTTCTCCTTCTTGTATTCCTATTATTTTTAGGTTTTTTTTTCTTCTTTTTTTTAATGGTGTCCCAAATTTCTTGGATGTATTGTATCAGGAACTTTTCAGATTTAGCATTTTCTTTGACTACTGTATCAATTTCTTTTATCGAATCTTCTATGTCTTTCATCTCTTGTATTCTGTTGGTAATGCTTGCATCTGTAGTTCCTGTTCACTTACCTAGATTTTCCATCTCCTGTATTCCCTCAGCTTGTGTTTTCTTTATTGCTTCTATTGCCATTTTCAAGTCTTGAACTATTTTATTCACTTCCTTTACCTGTCTGCATTTTCCTGGGATTTCTTTATAGGATTTATTCATTTCCTCTTTAATGGCCTCTATAATCTTCTTAAGATTTGATTTAAGATTATTTCTTGTGCTTCAGCTATGCTGGAATATGCAGGGCTTGCTGCAATAGGATAGCTGGTCTCTGGTGGTGCCATATTGCCCTGGTTGTTGTTGATTGTGTTCTTATGATGGCCTCTAGTCATTTGGATTTAGGGTTATTATGCATTTAGATGCTGATTTCTGAGTCTATTTTTATGGGATGAATGCTTTTTGGATGTTTTCCCCTTTGGTTTCTGTTTCCTCTCTAGTCTTTTGGCCTGAGTGGCCTGTGATTCTGGTGACCAGCAAGTTTTCAGGTATTATAGTATGTATACACTGGGGTTTTGGCAGCCTGTGTGGCCTCTGGGGTTCTGGGAACTGCTTTGGTCTCTGAGGTTCCTAGTACTGGTGTGGTCTTTCATAGAGCCAGAATATTCTACTGGAGTTGTGGGCAGGAATTTGGAGTCTTGATGTTTAATTTCTATGTTTATTTGATTTTGGATAAATGATATTCAGTCTTGCCTCAGATATCAAAATTTTAAAAAGAAGTAGTTGTATTTTTATTTTATTTGTGCTTTTGAAGAGTAAACGAACAGTTAGCTTTAGTAAGCAAATATCAACCATATTGTCATACCACACATTTAAAGTTAAATGTATTGTTGGTGTGTCTTAAATACTTGAAAACTGCATTGTAAATAGGGAAGAAATGCAATACTTTTGAAAGATAGAAGAAATGTAAAACTAAGAAATACTCATGTTTGTTAGGTGGTGGCACACACCTTTAATCCCAGCACTTGGGAAGCAGAAGCAGGCAGATCCCTGTGAGTTTGTGGCCAGCCTGTTCTACAGAGTGAGTTCCAGGACAGGCTCCAAAACTACACAGAGAAACCCTGTCTCTGGAAGAAAAAAAAATAAAGGAATACTCATGTTTTCTTTGCACAGAATTGAAGAAGAATAGTTTTAAAGAAAAACCCCTTGATAATTTTACTCCCTCAATCAAAGATTTTAAAAAGTAAAAATGGGAACATAACTGAGATGATGATAGAGATTTCATTGATGTTGTTGCAGAGTTTAATGTAACATACCACATGTGAGATGCTTTGCTCTAATACATGTGTAGATGTGCAATCATATGTAACTGCTGCCGTGTGATAGAGGAAGTCAAATGCCCGGGGACAGAGATTATCCATAGCTTAGTAAGAGCTGAAATACAGTGGATGGTTGAAGAGAAAGGAGGATAGTATTGGAAAATAAATTCTAAGGGAAGAAACCTAATAATTTACCTTGTATGAAGATGTGGTAGCTAAAATAATTTGAAATAAGTACTTCCGACGACAGCACTTTGCTTAGGTGCATGGTAATCATGTGTAATTGGCCCTCACAAATGGGGTCCTAAACTGATACCAGTGATTCTTTAGATGGAAGTGCCATCTTATGTAGAGATCACCTAGGGCATAGAGAACCTGAATAATGCCATTCAAACATTTTTCTTTAATGGTAAACAATTATCTTTAAGGAATAATAAAGCAGGAACCACATGTTTCAGTAAGAGCTGTGAACACAAAGCTTCTCAAAGGAAGTGTGGGCCCAGTTGGCATCAGTATGACACAAAGGCTTAAAACTCTACACAGTTTTAGGGCACTGCCCAACCCCATTAGTGAGTATAACCAGGTAACTGCTCCAAGCCTACTTAATTTCCTTGCCAATGACAAGCCATCCAGGCCTTAAAAAGATGTGTCCTTTGATGTCTACATGTCTCCAGATTAGTCAATACACTAACAATTCTCTCTCACCATGATATAACATGTTCCATTTTAATGATTAATTGCCCATGTGAGTGCACATCCTAACCTAACTTGTTGCTTATAGAACATTTTTCCTCATATTAACCTTGCATAATAATGTAATTATTCACATTACTTAAAAAATCTTATTAAGGTATACAGATCAAATAAAAAATTGTACATACTTAAGAAACATCCATGATATTTTGATGTATATATTTATTATAAAATGATAACCTTAATGAAGTTAATATATGTATTACTCTATATAACCCTCTTTTGTGATGAGGATACTGAGGATCTATTCTCAGCAAATTTCAAGTATAAGATAAATTGTTTACAGTAGTCATTTATAGATCAGGTCTTCAGAATTTATCCTTTTGATGGCTGAAAGTAACCCCCTTTCAAAATGTGCTTCCCATTACTATTGCTGACATTTTTGGAGGCATTTATACTCTCTGTTCCAGTGAGTTCGCCTTTTTAGGTTCCACATGTAAGAGCGATCACATAGTATTTGTTTTTCTGTGCCAGATTTATTCCATGCAGCACAATGTACTCCGGGTTTGTTTATCTTTTCTCTAATGAAGATTCCTTCCTTTTACAGATAGAATAATGTTCCACATTATATGTGTGTATGACAGTGCATGTACCACATTGTCTTTATTCATCAGTCAACAGATGATTACATTGGATCTATACCTTGACTCCTGTAAATGCTTCAAGGTACATGAGAGTACAAATATCTCTTTAAAAAGGTGTTTTCACTCCTGTGTCAAGTTTCTGTGACTGAAATAAAACACTTGTAACAAAGCTTTAAAGGGAGAGAAGGTCCCTTTTGGCTCATAGCTTCAAAGGCTGCAGTCTATAATCAGTTGGCTCCATAGCTTCTGGCATCTCTGTGAGGCAGTAGATTGTAGAAAAACACGTGGAGGAAAAGTTCTCAACCAATCCTAGCAGATGGTAGACAAAAAGAAAGAAAGAACAAGAGTCAGTGTCTCCTCCAAGGGCCGCCCCAGTGACCTACCTTTGTTCTACTAGACCCCTACCTCATAAAGGCTCTACCATCTACCCATAGTGCTACAGACTTCTCAAGGGGGAAATTCAAAGTCTAAATTACAGCAAATTCATTTCCTTTCCTCTCCCCCTTCTTTCATTTCATGCAGAAGTGAAATTGATGTATCATGTAATATATCTATTTTTAATTTTGGAAGAATTGCCATATCACTTTTATAATGTCTATACCAATTTACATTCCTACCAACAGTGCACAGTGGCTCACACCCACACACACATCCTTGCAGAAACTTTTTACCTTTCCCTTCTTTATAAAAACTGTTATACAGTATGGCGATGCCTCCTAACGTTGTTTGATTTGCATACTTAGTGACATTGAGCTTGTTTGTTATTTTTCCATCTTATTTTGGCAAATGTTTAGGAAGATCTTTCATCCACTTTTTATAAGTGTATTACTTGCACAAAGTAATGGGTTTCATTAATTCATAGGACATTTTC